ATTCTAAGAGGATTTAACCTTTATAGTTCTATTAATTAGGTATTTGTATTATTTTAGGATTTAATAGTATTTTTAGATGAAAAAAATTCTATGAGACATTGGGTAATTTGCTGGAATCCAAACAGTTAAAATGTGGAGGAGCCAGGATTTAAACTCAGATCTGACTCCCAAGACTGTGTTATTTCTACCACACCCGACTGCTTCTCCAAACCCCTACCCTATACCCCAAAGGCCCCAGCCCCTGATTGTCCCTCTGCCGGCAGGGTATGACTTTGCAGCTGTCCTTGAGTGGTTTGCCGAGCGGGTTGACCGCATCATTCTGCTCTTCGATGCCCACAAACTGGACATCTCTGATGAGTTCTCAGAAGTCATCAAAGCCCTCAAGAACCATGAGGACAAGATGCGGGTGGTGCTGAACAAAGCTGACCAGATCGAGACGCAGCAGCTGATGCGGGTGTACGGGGCCCTCATGTGGTCCTTGGGGAAGATCGTGAACACCCCAGAGGTGATCCGGGTCTACATCGGCTCCTTCTGGTCCCACCCCCTCCTCATCCCTGACAACCGGAAGCTCTTTGAGGCTGAGGAACAGGACCTATTCAGGGACATCCAGAGTCTGCCCCGAAATGCTGCCCTGCGCAAGCTCAATGACCTCATCAAAAGGGCCAGGCTGGCCAAGGTGAGGCAGCCCCCTGGGAGGTGGGCAACTTGGGCAGGAGCTGAGAGTTCGGGGTCAGCTGCAGGAGTTGAGGGTTGCTGCCTTCAGCAGCTGGGCTGGAGAGTGTCCTGCAGCCACTGCATCATATGTGTGACACCAAGGGGCAGGACAGTGCAGGAGCCATGGTTACAAGCTCTGAGGTCAGATGGCCAGATTGGAACTGACTCCATTGTTTACTGTCTGTGGGATTCCCAGCCTTGGCAAGGCCTTTAGTCTCTCTGTACCTCTGTCTGCATCTGTAAAATGAAGGGGTTGTTAGAGGATAAAGTGAAATAAAGAGTCTCAAAGCTCTCATCACAATGTCTGGCACCTTCAGAGAGGCTCAGCAAATGTCAGCTCTTGGTATTGTCTTCAGCAGCAGCAACATGACCACCTCACCCTGCCTTGACTGTAGCTCCCCACAGCCTCACCTTGCCCGTGTAACATGGAAAAACAGCCCAGCCCTACAAGCCACGTGGAGGCATGAGGGTAGAGGTATAAAGTATTTCAGAAGTAAGAGCAGGAGGAGGCAGGAGGGATGCAGGGGAACAAATGGTGTGAGAGCCATCCTAGAAGGAAGGGACCATCCAGGGTCTTGACGTGAAGGCTTCTCTCTGGTCCTGTTTGTCAGGTCCACGCCTACATCATCAGCTCTCTGAAGAAGGAGATGCCCTCAGTGTTCGGGAAGGACAACAAGAAGAAGGAGCTGGTGAACAACCTAGCCGAAATCTATGGCCGGATCGAGCGGGAGCACCAGATCTCACCTGGGGACTTCCCCAACCTGAAGAGGATGCAGGTAGCGAGGGTTGGGGGCTCTAAGACAAGGGACAGTGTCCTGAGAGCTGGCTGAGCAGTCTGAGTATGGAGGAGGCCACTCTTGGAGCCCCCCAAGGAGTACCCAGCCCAGAATCTGTAGGCAAGGCGGTGGCCCTGGATCTTCTCTCCCTGCTGGACTGTCACTGGCCCAACAGGGGCCATGTCTGGGCCTGGGGAGAAACACAGAGCCCACCAGCCCAGTGAGGCAGGTGTGTTAGGTGATGTTGGGGGGCTGACACCTCCAATTAATGACCTTCTCTAGTCACGGCCACCACAGGCTTGACATCCCCACTATCTCTGGTGCAGGGGGATGGGTCACCTGACCAAGGTTCTCCAGGCTCTTAAAGTGCTTGAGTTTACATTCAAGGTCCCCCTTATGAGCAACTTGGGACACAAGCTTCAGGGAGGCAGAAGTGCACACGGGAGCTCGTCATCTTTGGGTCACATTGCAGGTGCCTGTCTTGGGCCAGTGGCCATCACACATGCTTTCTTACGGTTTTTCCCAAAGCGCTCCTCAGAGGGAGGCATTTTGCATCTGCCTTTTTACAGAAGAAACTGAGGTCTCAGTATTTTCTGAGTGTAGCATTCACATAGGCCACAAGAAGAAAAGCCAGGAGCTGTGCCCAAAAGTCCAAGCAGGAAACCACACCACCACATTGACTGGATCCTCTGTGAGCCTCCATCTCCTCATCTGTAAACTGAAGCTACAAAATCACACCTTATACAGGTGTTGTGAGCATCACTGAGATAATATTTGCAAAGCCCTTAGCACAAAGCCAGACAGACTATGCCCTTAATACACAGTAGCAATCATTAGGTGGGCAGAGGGAGGTGGGTGCTGAGCACAAAGCACTTACCCTCTGTACAATGTTTGCAACTTCTGGGAAGTTTGTACAATGTTTGCAAAGTGCTGGGATTACAGGCATGAGCCACCATGACCAGCCTACAAACTTTTTGACTTTTGTAGTAACAATTAGCTTAAAACCTATGTTATATACACAAATATTTTCTTTATATCCTTCTTCTATAAGTTTTTTCTATTTAAAAAAAAATATTTTTTACTTTTTTATTTTTGCGTATGCTAAAAACTAAGACACAAACACCCACGCTAGCCTAGGCCTACACAGGGTCAACATCATCAGTTTCACTGTGTTCGCCTCCACATCTTGTCCCACTGGAAGGTCTTCAGAGACAGTAACACACATGGAGCTGTCATCTCTATAATAACAATGCCTTCTTCTGGAATTCCTCCTGAAGGGCCTGCCTGGGATTGTTTTACTGTTACCATTTTTTTAAATAAGTAGAAAGAATACACTCTAAAATAACAATACAAAGTACAGTATAGTAAATATTTACATAAACTGGTAACATAGTCGTTATCATTATCCGGTATTATGTACTCTATGTAAATGTGTGTGCTAGATTTTTATACCACTGGCAGCGCGGTGGGTTTGTTTACACCAGCATCACCACAAACACATAATGCGTTGTGTTATGTACAGTGGCTGCCATGTCACTAGGCAACAGGAATTTCCCAGCTCCCTTATTATCTTCTGGGACCCTCGTCGTATGTGTGGTCCCTCATTGACTGAAACATCGTAATGCAGCGCATGACTGTATGTTGAAAACTATCTTCAGGTGACTCCGATGAGCATCCTGATTAAGAACCATAATTTGGGGATGACCTTTGGCTTCTGTTATGATTTGGTTTTAGTAGCCTGTGTCCTGTTTTGTTTTTGTTTTTGTTTTCACTAAGTGGGGATAGAATGTGATTTTCCTACCTCAGAAGGGCGCTGGGGGAGCGACCAAGGTAATGTAGTGCAGGCGTTTGCAGTGATTTTCAAGTACAGTGTAACCCTTATTAAAGTAGGGGCCCACATGACCCAGTCTCAGAGGTACAGCATTCAAGAGACAGATTCAATAGCCAAAACTGGCGTACAGAGAAATGTAATGATTTCCTCTCTGGAATGACATTAAAGGGGATTGAAATAAATAGATCATGTCAATACTTGTTAAATTTCCCTTTCTTCCCCAGCCCCTACAACTCTTCTGCTCCCTCCTGAAAAATCCCATCATCAGCCCAGTGGGCCTTTATTCCCCTCCTCTCTCATACCTTCAATACCACGTGATGTCCATCAGCTAAGCCTCTAGGTCACACGTCTTTCATTGTAGAAAGGGATCGACTGTGAACATTCTGGTGTTCACAGGAGGCACGTGACAAGTAGAGGGCTCTCCTTTCATTGTATCCTATCTTCATCTTCTCTCCTCCTCTTCCCAGGACCAGCTGCAGGCCCAGGACTTTAGCAAGTTCCAGCCGCTGAAGAGCAAGCTGCTGGAGGTAGTGGATGACATGCTGGCCCACGACATTGCCCAGCTCATGGTGCTAGTGCGCCAGGAGGAGTCACAGCGGCCCATCCAGATGGTGAAGGGTGGAGCATTCGAGGGCACCCTGCACGGCCCCTTTGGGCATGGCTATGGGGAGGGGGCTGGAGAAGGTATCGATGATGCTGAGTGGGTGGTGGCCAGGGACAAGCCCATGTATGACGAGATCTTCTACACCCTGTCGCCGGTGGATGGCAAGATCACAGGCGCTAATGCCAAGAAGGAGATGGTGCGCTCCAAGCTGCCCAACAGTGTGCTGGGCAAGATCTGGAAGCTGGCCGACATTGACAAGGATGGCATGCTGGATGATGAGGAGTTTGCACTGGCCAACCACCTCATCAAGGTCAAGCTGGAGGGGCACGAGCTGCCCAACGAGCTGCCTGCCCACCTCCTGCCCCCGTCCAAGAGGAAACTTGCCGAGTGATGGGGGCGGGGGGACATTCAGATGGGCAAGTGTTAGAGGAGGAGATGGGAGCAGTGACTACACACACACACACACACACGCACACACACGAACACACATGCACACACACGCGCAGATCTTGACATTGCTCTGTAGGTGAGAGAGGACCATGATGCCCACATTTGCAGCTGATACTTGTTTGGGCACACCTCCAAGTTCTCGAGATTAGTAGAAGGACAAGAACACTCCCAGGCCCCAGAGTCTAAGCCTGAGTCTTCATCTCTCTTCCCCCCTCATCAGCCACTCCCCAGAGATGAGACCTGAGGCAATTCACTTGCCCGTGCAGATGGCCCACCCACCTCCAGATTCCCCAGTGCCTCCACATGTGGGCTCTGAGCAGATGGAAAAGACTTTTCGTTTAGTAGACAATTCACTTCTTTTTCTGTGCTTCCCATACCTGCTTTGGCTTCCTAATAAGAAATCCATTCAGGAGCCAGGAGATCTGAGGGCATGGGGACAGCTGCAGGGAGGAGAGGTGAAAGAGGAAGCGTCTTCTAGAGACATTGGCCCAGAAGCTCTGTTCTTTCCTAATCTAAGCCTCTGTCTTCTTTGGCAAACCTTGCTTTGAACTCTGCCAGTATTTCATTTTAAAGAATCCCAGAGCAGGAGAGAAAAGAGAAAAAATTTGATAGAAAGAGTGAGGAAACTGTCCTGTAGTCTCCTGGAAACCAGTCAAGGTGGTTTTAGTCCATAGATTTTGTTAGATGTTCTTTCCACCTGGCCTGTGATGTTTAGATGTTCATACTTGACTCACATTTACCCAGCCCCTCCTGCGTGCCAGGAGCTATGTTAGGCACTTTATATACATTATTCTATGTGGCCCTCACTGATGTCCCAGGTAAGTATGCATTAACCTTCCCAGTTTGCAGATGAAGAGGCTGAGTAGCCTCAGAAGGGTTTAGGCAACCTACTGAAACTCACAGAAGTCACCTGTGATGGAGAGAGGATTTAAAGCCAGGGCCTCAGACCCTCACATGCTTCTCTGTGCTATGATGTGTGCAGGATCCCAGCACTGATACCCAGTGACAAACTATGGAGAACAACAAAGCATGCAGGACCCCGGCAGCCTCCCAGGACAGGCTGGCAAGGGAGGAGGGCCGGCCAGCACTTGGTGGGCCATCAGTCTGGCCATCTGTCGTGTCACAGAAGCAAACCGTGCCTTCTGGCTCTGCGCCCCATATTCCCAGCATCATAGACATCCAACAGCACCAGCAGGAGAGTGGGCTGGCCTGCTGGATGCTGTTCGTGCCTGTCCCTGCTCTGCCTCCCACCCAGTTGCCTGAATCATCCCAGCTCAGATGCAGCCACTGTCTCTTGTCAAATGGGACCTCATGCTAATTCTCAAAAGGCTAACTTGAGAGGTCTGGGGCCTTGTTCCCTAGAGGGTCCCCAGGGACTCTGCAGTGTCCTTGGCAAATCCCCACTGTACTCAATGCCCTACATCCTCCTCTATGGTCTCTCCCCTGGCTTGCTTCATGGCCACTGAACCAGTCACTTTGTATGCTATGTTCCTACTGTGATGGAAAACTAAATGATTATAACTTATTTTATATCCATATTCAGATTATATAGAGAATATTCTATGTATCTATGATGTGCTTACTACTGCAGTGCATTTGTCATTAGTCTTCATGTTAATACAGTACATTTATTCTTTGGTACCTGCTTGGCCACAAAGCATCATTCAATGGAGGCTGAGGGAGAGGGACTGGGTTCTTACTTGGGGTTCCTGGTGGAATCTTTGGCCGGAAAGGGCTCACTGGTGCCACCCAATGGCCAGCATCTACAACCAGCTTCCCAGTGGGCTGGAGTTTCTCTAGGCCCAGTGACCAACCCAGGCGAAGCTGGTGGAGCCACAGCTCCCTGACCCTCTGGAGTGAAGATGTTCCCCTAGCCCCTGGGCTTCCTTCTGCAAGCACACATTTCTCTTTCACATGAAATGAAGGACAGACAAAGGCAAGGCAAAGAGGTCTTTCCTGCTCTGGAGAAAACCCTTGAGTGCCAAGTGCAGGTTAGGGACCATTTCTCAGCTCCACACCTTTCTTTGAGCTGAAGGAGAAATGGGAAGGAAATAGCAGAGGTAGGTGAAGTTCCTGTCTTTTTATTTTATAGGAAAGGGAGATGTCTGTTATCCCCTTTCTTCACCGCCACTTGGACACACGTGTCACTTTCCTGCCCTTCTCCATACACTGCCTCTCTTCCCTCTCTTCTTGAAGTCTCCACCCAGGAGAGATCTGCGAGGTGTGGGAATTCCATGTTTGCACAACTCCCATCTCCCTGGAAAGAGGAACTGATGTTTCAGGGGACAGATGTGGGTCACTTTCCCTGGCAGTGCCCTCTGGCCTTGCTGCCTTGGCTTCCTGACCCCTTTCAGGTTTCAGGGGCCTGGGAGATCTCATGCCTCAGCCTGGGAAACATTTAATAGGAGAGCAGAGACATGCCATGTCAGCCCCGCAGACAGGAATTTCTAGAGCACTTGTCCTGTTGTTCCTTGCCCCCACCTTACTCAGACTGGGCCATGGAATCCATCCAATAAACACAGCAACACCCTATGCTACTGACCAAGCAAAGCCTGCCCCTGGTGCCAGAGAGCTAAATCATGACCAAAGTGTGACACGAACGTAACCGAAACATGGGTTAGTTGCTGAATGTACGCAAAGTCCCATGGACAAGAGTGAGGTCTGATACCAATAAAGTGAATGTATTCTGAAGCTAGCTTGGAGGAGGGGCACACAACGTCCTGCCTTTCAATGTGCCGCTTCCCCTTTGGGGCAGAAAGCAGACACTTTTATAAGGTAAGGGAGCAAGTCAGCAAGGGTCCGCCTGATAGCATGGTACCTTATCGACTGGACAGCTGAGTCGGGCCTCCCTGGGCAAAAATAAATTGTAAAAGTGGCCAAGTAGGCATACTTTAGATATACCCTCCTGGCGAATGAAAGTCCTGAGGCAGCCCCTGGAGGTGGGAATTCCAAGGTAACCCCTGGAGGTGAAAGCTCGAGAAGGGCATGCTTTCGTCTACAAATTGGCAGTCAATTCTGGAGGACTATTTTGGAGCAGAGAGATGAACTTGCCCTGTAGGGAATGTCTAATGAAGGGGAGATGAAAGGTTATATTTGCATTTCCCTTTTATTGAGACAGAGTCTCACTCTGTCGTGTAGGCTGGAGGGCAGTGGTACGATCTCGGCTCACTGCCACCTCTGCCCTCCAGGTTCACACCATTCTGCCTCATCCTCTCAAGTAGCTGGGACTACAGGTATCCACCACCACGCCTGGCTAATTTTTTTGTTTGTTTGTTTACTTTTAGTAAAAACAGGGTTTCACCATGTTGGCCAGGCTAGTCTTGAACTCCTGACCTCAAGTAATCTGCTCACTTCAGCCTCCCAAAGCACTTGTATTACAGGCCTAGGCGAGAGCCACTGCACCAGGCCTATATTTGCATTTCTAAAGCGCTACATAGGAAGTTGGGAATCCAGGAAATGGAGAAAAGAAGAGAGGGGGAAAAAGAAAACACCTCTTAGAAAAATGGGGCGCTCATTTACATGAATATTTCCAGACAACACCACTGAACCATAGCAGGGCATGGGCCTTAGCTTGCAGAGTGATGAGAGGCTGCCGTGAGTCATCCCCACTTCCATTTCGTTCTAAAACCTGTATTTCTGAGTTAACTCATCGGAATCTGCTGAATGACCTGAAGAGAATAGGCTTGTTTATTCTCCCTATGCGATGCTGACTGGAGTCTATACATCCTCAATCCTTTATTTAATTTGTCCATCCATTCATCCGTCCATCTTTTTTTCACTCAAAAGATGCCGAGCACCTCTTACAGAAAACATCCTGAGGGAGAATATAGAGATTCATTGCTTGAGTCATTCAAAAACACTCGATCAAGTTCACCTGAGAGTAGAGACTATTCTATATGGATCAAAGAGCTCAGAGCCTAGTAGGGGGGATGAGGCATTTATGCAAACATTGATAATATGATGAGGGAACAGGAAAGGGGGTGCTCAAGAAAGTCAAAAATGGCTTCAAACTGGGGAGAAGGTGGTCAGAGAAAGCGTGTGGCAGGGTGGACACTGGAACTGAGAAACCATCTGGGGCCAACCTCTTGGGCCTGTTTTCTTCCTTCCTAATCTAAGGAAGACAGGCAGAATTTTTACATAAAACACAACACAGAACATTCTCAGCCCACTAAATCATGACAGACTGAGAACCACTGAAGTATTTGTGGAAAAGCACGATTAGAATTTTGCCTCTGGGGACTATGCTGTTTTTTCATAAGCCATTTTCAAGTGAAAATTATATCAGTATCTTTAAAGTTGAAATGTTAAGTTCCTGGAGGGAAAGAAAAATGGTGATGGAAGAACGTCAGTTATCCCGGCCGAGTGATGAGGACACTGGAGGCACGTCACGGGCACAGACTCCTAATTAGTGCTGTTTATCACAGGTCGGTTCTCTTGTCCTCTGGCTCATGGGAGGACTGTGCTTTTCTCCCTTTGAAGTAAGTGAGCTGTGTGACTTGCTTTAGCTCATGAAGTAGGTGTGTGAGCAACATGTCTCTTCCTTGCAGAGACAAATGTGCAATTTGCCACATTCTACTTTTCCTGCCTCTCCAGGAATGTGTGTGGGAGTGAGTGTGAAAATGGAGCCTAAGTCCTGGGTCATGCTAAAACCCTTTCCCAACCTACACTGGACAGATGCCTTGAATAAGACATAAACTCCATCATTTCACTGTTAAACCATTGATAGTCATGGAGCTGTTACCTAACATAGCCTATACCAGCAGACCTGGTAAGTCTTTCAATAGTTTAGCCCATGGAGCAAGTGAAAAGGAAAGAAAGTTCTTTGGAAATCAAGTTCCTGCCTTCTTAAGAACTGAGGTTGGCCAGGTGCGGTGGCTCACTCCTGTAATCCCAGCACTTTCAGAGGCTGAGGTGGGCGGACCACGAGGTCAGGAACTCAAGACCAGTCTGGCCAATATGGTGAAACCCCGTCTTTACTAAAAATACAAAAATTAGCCAGGCATGGTGGTGCATGCCTGTAGTCCCAGCTCCTCGGGAGGCTGAGGCAGAAGAATCGCTTGAACCTGGAAGGTGGAGGTTGCAGTGAGCCAAGATTGCACCACTGCACTCCAGCCTGGGTGACAGAGCAAAACTCCATCTCAAAAAAAAAAAAAAAACTGAGGTCACTGGAAGCTGAAGGGGTGGATGATTCACATAAAGCCCTTCAGTGTCTGAGTTTTATTCTGCCATATCCTAGCCCCACCCTTCAATGTGACTTTTTACGTTAGAGAACTTTCCACTTACACTGTCAAATGCTAATAGGACTTGCCTTCTCTCTGCAGGAATGCAGGTACTGGGGATTGACTGGGTATTTGTCTGCCTAGGGTTACACAGGGAGGTATCCAGGTTGGAAAGAGGAAAACTACAATTCCCAGACTCCCTTGCAGCCAGGTTCAGGATGTGATTTTAGGTACTGCCAACCAGATATACTTGTGGGAGAATGTGCTGTAGCAGATCATGCCAGAGGTGGACCCAGCAGCTATACAGCTGTAACAGCAGCTCCCTGGCTCCACAGCTTCTTATACTTGCTCAAGAAACTGGAAGTCTTGTGAGGTCGGAGAAACAATGGCAACACTGGTAGACAGCACCATAAGCAACCATCCACCACTTTGTGCTCACCTACCTATGGTGCCTGAGCACTGCTGCTATGTACAGATTGCAGAGAGGAGACCTCGGCTGCAGCGGGAGAGGCTTCATGGAGGGTGGTGTGTGTGTGTGTGTGTGCATCTCTATGTGTGTTTGGTCAGGTTGGGATGCTACACAGAGGTGGTTTTTGCAAGATAATTGAAGACAGGAGAGGATGTGGCAGGGTTTCTCAGAAAGAATGCAGCAGGGGAATTTTCTTTCTTTTTTTTTTTTTTTTT